ACCCCGCACAACATGATCTACTCGACCACCATTATGGTTACCGCCAAAAAGAAAAAACGGAGGTAAAAAAAGAAACGGTAACCTGGTTGCTGAGTTCACGAAGTGAATTGGCTTGTTTTACAACGTCTTTGCCAAGCGACGAAAACCCATTCCCGGTGGCAAACACCGGGGGGGGCGGCTTGTTTTACAACGTCGTTGCCAAGCGACGAAAACCCAACCCCGATGGCAAACACCGAGGGGGGGGGGGATTTCCGACATCTGGGTTCTGAGTCAGACGGGTTGGTGGTGGTAGATCGATGCGCAAGGTTTTTGGGACGGGGTAACGGGAAAGTATAAAGAAAACAGTGAGTACGGTATGCAGAACAAGAATGGGGCAGGGGGGGGGGGCGTAACGGGTAGCAAGTATAGTGCATTGGGAGACGAGAGTGTAGAACAAAAAGAGTTATATCGAGCTTGAAGGTACCCATGATTGATGCATCGCGACCCTGGCCTTGATGCTATCCCCGTACGAGGAGTGGAGGACCGAGGAGCGATAAGTCCACACGCGGTGCTCTTTGGCGGAACCAAATCTATGAGATATGTCAAGATCTTGTCCCAAGAAGCCTAGAATGGCCGTTCTTACGGAAAAAAATGTGCGACCAAAACAAACGAGTAAAAAAAAAAAAAACGGTTTCACCAGAACCACGAATCGGTCAGACGAAAGTCGCGGACTGAAAACAAGGGTTTTCGTTCGTAGGAAACTTAGAAAATGACCCCCTGGAGTGAGGCAATCCCTCTCCTTGGCTTACCTGCTCGTCATCATGTGCTTAGAAGTATCATTGGTCGCCATCCTTCCTTGGGGTGTGTGTGTGTAGCAAAAGGTGACCCGGTCGATCGCGAACTCAAACAATGGCTTGGTTTGATGCGTACGCTTCGCAGTCCACGACAGCGGAGCCACTAGCTAGACAGAGCCTTCCGAGGTGGGGGGGTTATTCTCAATCATTGAACTGAGATATCTCGTCGTGGGCGATGGCACACACTTGACTTTTTGGTGGCCAAACACAGGGAAAAAGTCACCCCCAGCTAGTTTTCCATCGCAGCAGTGAGTGAAAAGGAGTGTCCGCCTCTCCCAAAATATAGGATCTGGCAGAGGCAGATTATACGACCTCTTTTTTTGTGTGTTTTCGGTCGGCGATCGCATCACATCGGGCTTGTACGCATACTCAGCACCAGGGGGGAAGAGCCGAAAAACAAGCAGTGGCAAAATTGTCCTTGGGCTTTTGCATGACATAAATATGCCATAAGAGAACAACTGGCACAGGCCTCCGCAAGTTAGTAATTCACGACATTTTTTCGTTCACGACGACATGCATATATTTGTGTTTTCAACCTCAACAGAACATCCAAGGGAACGCTAAACACACTCGTTACACCCTACAACGAACGTCCACACGACCACAGTTGTGTGTTGCAAGCAAAAGACGGCCCGGCGGCGAGGGCAAGCACAAAAACAAACGGAGTGTTGCCACCAGCGGGCCCGCACTGCTGCCTGCAACCACGTGTGCAATATCTTCGTTCCCGATAGTGTTACAACAGTCTACCTCGTTCTGGCAAGGCACGCCGGACACACCAGAAGACTCCCCCCGGCCGGTGCGCCTCCGCTTCTTCCGTGGTAGAATTCGAACATGAAAAAACAGCCACCACGCACTAGTCACTTCCCTAATAGCAAACCGTAGAGGGGCAAACCGAGACAGTCACGCGAGGGTGTCCGTTTCCGTCAACGGCACGAGGGAGTCCGATACCAAAGCAGGCCAACGAAAGGCCGCGCATCGGCCGGGGAAACGCCCCCCCTCCCGCCCCCCTCCAACGGTCCTGGTTCCTAGCTTCCGCTACATGTTTTGGTATATATGGACGTACACGTCCAACCATACGGCAAGCAGGATGTGTTGTTCCCGAACGCAACGCAACGCAACGCAACCATCACCCACAAACAACGCAACAACAACCACCACCACCGCAATCCGACCCTCAAAAACGAGGGGAACGCTCCGCCCCCCCCCCCCCCCCCCCCCCCCCCCCCCCCCCCCCCCCCCCCC